CTCATTTTGCTGAGGGGAGGCCGGAAGCGTGAACGACTGGAGAAAGCCCTCCCCACGACAAAAGTCCCGCAAGAGGTCGGAGGAGAAATCACCACCTCTGTCAGAGTGCAGACGCAGGACAGGAAGGTCCTCGCGGAACCGCTCGCGGAGCTGGAGACGGACTGCGCGGATCCAAGGGATCAAGGCATCAGGGACCTCACCCTTGCTGCGCAAGGGAAAGACCGTGGTGTACCGCGTGTAGTCATCAACAACCAGCAGAAAGTAGAGCTCGCGGCCCTGTCCACTGACGCGGGCTGGGCCCCACACGTCCATGTGGAGAGTCTGCACGGGAGCCGTCGTCGGGGGAAACGAGGAGGAGTGAGGAGCGGCGCACTGCCGCCCCTCGACACAAGGAAGGCAGGGCGGGGCAGGCGAGGGCGCAAGGGGAGGCAGAGACCTGGGAAGACTAGAGACAAGGAGGCGGGAGTGCATGCCACGAAGGCGTGGCAGGGAGGGGTGACCAAGGCGGTGGTGCCACAGGAGAGTCTGGTGCGACAGGAGGCGACACGAGCAAGGGGGCGCTACCGGACCTGACGCGGACACCTGGGCAGACGCAGCTACCTGAGGAGGCTCGGTAGCCAGTGTGTACAGACTCGACCCTGGCCGACGAGTGAACGTGGCCAGGTGACGTCCCGTCCGTGTACACGTGCAGATCGACACACGCTGACCCCCATGGTGGTAGTGACCATCGCATCCTGGAGGGCAGCGGTACTCACCAAGTTCGTAGAGAACGAGGGGAGGTGAAGACCTGACAGTGAGCCGGACAGAACTGCCGGACACGGGAGAACAGTGGAGGAACGCACAAGGACTGGGCCCCCTGAGGGGTCAGCCAGTCTGACCGGGACTGGTGCAGAGAGAGGAGTGAGGGTGGTGCTGTCGCGAAAGAAACAGCTTGAAGCACCTGAGTCAAGTGTAAAGGTGTGCAAGGCCTCAGCAGGTGCAGTACCAGGGAGAGCAGACTCACTAGCACCTAGAGCTGCAGCCTCTATACCTGGGTCAGGCGGCACATACATGTAAGAGTCACCCTCAGCACTAACAGACAAGGCATACATAGCAGCAAGGATATCATCATAGTCTAGGTCAAAGATAGCAACTCCAGACCTAAACAGCTCTGCCCAGCGGGGGCGCTCGGCCTCGTCACCAATTTCTGCGCGCCAAGCGTCGTTTAGGCGGGAGAAGCAGCGATGCTGAGTGTGAGGCTTTCCGCATGTCTGACCAGCACGGTCACCCGTGCGAATGACATATGGGCAGCTACCACTACCCCCAGACGCCCCATGCTGAGAAAACCACTCACGAAGCTGCTGGGGCGACGGGGTCTCGCTCCGACGCTGCTGCTGCTGCCTCTGGCCTCCGCCAGAACCTCCCCGCTGAGCAGCTCCAGGCCTACCGCCACCACTCCCACTGCCGCCACTACCGCCACCCCCACCGCTGCCACCACCGCCGCCGCCAAAGCCCCCACTCCCGCCACCACTCCCACCACCGCCACCACCTCCACTGCCTCCACCACCTCCACTGCTGCCCCCACCACCACCCCCGCTGCCACTGCCACCACCCCTGCCACACTTGCCCTTGCTGCTGTGGCGCTTCCCACTAGCAGATGCAGCCCCGACATCCTCAGCACTAAGGACGTTAACAGCAGCAGCAGAGGCGTAGGAGGGGGCAAGGGGGGAGGGGAAACACCCCTCAAAGAAGGGCATGCGAGGAGTGCCACGAGCGGCACCTACAGCGACTACACTAGTCTCAGATGCAAGGAGGTGCTGCTCGAGTAGGTCAACAGTGAGGGCTGTGGGGTCAAGTGCGAGAAAGTGGTCCCTGACAGCACGAAGAGAGTCAGGGAGTTGGGTGACTATAAAGTAGAGAGTGATGTACATCGGGGGCGGGTTCCTGTCAAGGAACTCTGCTGGGAGGGCAGCGCGGTAGCGAGCGTCGCTAGTGCGAAGGTGGGTAACTAAGTCCTCTACTGTGGCAAAAGCGGACAGCTCAGGAAACAGGTAGGGCAGTAGAAGACGGCCTAGATCAGCAGTGGCAGGCGAGGAGTAACGGACGACTATAGCGTCGTACAGTGCCTGTGCAGTCCTGTGCTGTCCGAAGTGAGCGCATTCGGCTAACGGCAGGTGGTTGCGAATGGCTAAACGAGCAGCTGTGTCGGGAGGGGCGAGAGAGGCTCCAGACGTGTGGTCAAACAACGAAACGTTGTCTCTAGAGTCGCTCAATAGGTGCAGCTGTAAGTCGTCGAGCCACGTGTCGAACTGGATCGGACGGCCCTCATGGTCGAACGCGAGGACGCGGAGAGAAGCCATAGCAGCGCAGCACGCAGGGCGGGCAGGAGCTGGGCAGCGCAAGGAACAGGGCAGGCAACAGCAAGGGGCGGCAAGCAGGCTGCAAGTGGCGGCGCGCAGGCTGCAAGAGGGGCGGCTCGCAGGCCTAGGGGCGGCTGGCGGGCCTAGGGGCGGCGGGCGGGCCGCAAGGGGCAGCGCGCGAGGCTGCATGGGCGGCTCGCGGGCTGCAGGGGCGAAGGGCGGGCCGCAAGTGGCGGCGCGCGGGGCTGCAGGGGCGGCGAGGAGGGCAGCAGGGGCGGTGCGCGGGGCCCAGGGGCAACGGGCGGGCCGCAAGGGGCGGCGCGCGGGGCAGCAGGGGCGGCGGGCGGGGCTGCAGGGGCGGCGAGAAGGGCCGCAAGGGGCGGCGCGCGGGGCTGCAGGGGCGGCTTGCTGGCTGCAGGGGCGAAGGGCGGGCCGCAAGGGGCGGTGCGCGGGGCTGCAGGGGCGGCGAGCAGGGCAGCAGGGGCGGCGCGCGGGGCCTAGGGGCGACGGGCGGGCCGTAAGGGGCGGCGCGCGGGGCAGCAGGGGCGACGGGCGGGCCGAAAGGGGCGGCGTGCGGGGCTGCAGGGGCGGCGAGGAGGGCAGCAGGGGCGGCGCGCGGGGCCTAGGGGCGACGGGCGGGCTGCATGGGGCGGCGCGCAGGGCAGCAGGGGCGATGGGCGGGCCGCAAGGGGCGGCGCGCGGGGCTGCAGGGGCGGCACGAGGGAAGCAGGGGCAGCGCGCTGGGCTGCAGGGGCGGCTCGCGGGCTGCTAGGGGCGGCGCGACGAGCGGCTAGGGGCGACGTGACGGGCCCTTAGGGCAGGGCAGTTCGTGGGGCAGCTCTGTGGTGGGCCCTAAAAAAAACGGTCCTAACGAAGGACCTGCTCTGAAACCATGTCAGAAGAATGAACTATGAGAGAGTTTAATTGGATTGTACCCCTTATGGGCTACCCCACTACAGCCTACACAATGTAAGCATTATAACACTTTGACACAACTTTCTTCTCAATGCAATCATTTCCAGTTCAGTATTCTGACAAACCACTACCAGGTAGGACATGCGGTACAAGATATTACACATCGGTTCCCTGCGGAAGGGCCAACACCATGAAATGAAATGATAATCAGAAGTATATGTATTAAATACGGTACATCTAAACCTTCAGCAATGTAAAACTACCTACCATACATTCTCTAGCCAAAATCCTGCTTTCCCTGCATTTGAACATCTCAAATAGCACCCCTGCTTCTTCTCCAGTACGGTACATTTTCTCTTCAACGCAACGTCAGGTGTCAGGAGCAGCCAGCAAGAAGCATGTGACCATGAAGCTTTACGTTCTTAACAGACCAGCTTGTGGATGCATGATGCGTATAAAGTTCTGGAATAATGGAAAGTGTCAACGTTTCACTTCCCGCTTTTCTTCAAACCCGCACCTCCAATAGAACCCTTAGCAGCCTTGGACTTCAATTCTTTTAAAGCCTGAAAACAAGAAACTCAAACTCAGGACAGCTTGAAAACGAAAAGGTAAGCTAAGCGAAGTCGACAAAGGAGTCTCGGTTCTAACCTTCTCTTCTTCTTTCTTCTTGGCTAGGTACGCAAGATCAGCCTGTTACATCCAAGAAAGGCGACAGATCAAGAGATGCTGGATCGTCCAAAAAATCAGATGACAACATCAAATTGAGGCATGTTAACTGCTGCTCACATCGTCGTAATCTTTATCCTTGGCCTTAGCCTGCTTTAAGGGTTTTAGCTTGCCGCCTGCAGGTAATAAGGACAACTAGTCACCCTTACGAAAACAATAACGAATAAGAAGCTCACGCTCAAGTAGCTAAAAGAAATAGTCACCTTGTCGTCCGGACATGGTGAATAAACCAGGTGAAGTCGCCGGAGCAGACGAAGGTGTTCAAGCGAAGGAGTTAGCGGGAATGAAGGGAATGAATTTGGATTTTACTATGGCAGGCCTGCTCCTGATCTCGCTGGCAGACAGACAACCTTGGGGTTGGGGGGTCAATTCTTGCTGTGGTTAAAGGAACCATCACCACGTAGAACCCTTGAGAACCGTAATTTGTGTCGATTCCACCGCAGTTAACAGAAGGCCATCACCAACTCCTTTCATACTCGCCAATTTCATACCCGGTACTCGCACACCACGTTCTCGACCAACCTGGAGAACAGCGCACCATATAAACAAGAAGTTATTTGTGGAGTTGAGTTGTCTGAACTCGGACATGAACTCGGTTCACCCTAGCCGGCTCATGAGACCATAAGGAGCACCATTGTCGCATTCCCCTACTTACCACATGAGCATGCCGCTCCAAACTACAGTCTTCTTGCGTCGGGTATATTGGGGGACCATTGTTGAGGACCAAGTGCGAGGCGATTGAGATGTAGTATTATATCCCTATCTTTGGTGCTCTCACAACTGTCGTTCACATCGCAACAAATCGATACGCGCTGTACAATGCGGCGACGAGACGTCTTCCTTCGCACGAGCGTGGATGACGGCGGGCCTGACGTGGAGCCTCCGTTGCAACAGCTTCCGAAGAACCAGACGGGCTTCAGCAGTAATCCTCGCGACTTGGGCGGTGGCGGCGGCGGCGGCGGCGGAGGCGGGAAGCCGCAAATTCTGTGGTCGCGAAGCACGTCTATGAATGGCCGCGATATGCGCTTCATGGTCCAATGGGCGTCGTCCTCTGCTGCCACGTCACCCGACCCGCGCTCCTTATTCCATTCGTCCGTCCCGGAGCATAGTACCACGCCGGACCGCGGCAACATTTCCTTTTCCTCCGGCACGCCGCTTGTTCCCGCGCTTCGAAGAAACCGTTCCTCTAACGCCTCCTCGTCGCCGCCGCTCGTTACAGGCACACCCGGCGCTTCCGCCAGCGGCGCAGCCACCGCGACGCCTCCGGTAGGGAAATCCGCTTCCGCCAACGCCCGTTCCGCGACTGCCGCACCGCTCCTTTCCGCCTCGCATTCCTTCTCCTCGCGCGGAGATGATGAGCGGTTGCCCGCGCGAACCCGCGCCGACCCTTCCGCCGCCGCGGTGGCAGCTGCCCCCTGCCCGCATGCCGCCCCCGGCTGGGGGATGCCCTGCTCTGCGTGCCTGCGGCGCGCGCTGGAAGGAGGCGGAGCCGTTCCGCGCTCGTCGTCCGCGGAGGGTCGCGTGCAGCAGCGCCCTGCGGGGGCGGAAGAGGCGGGGAACGGGGCGCGGGCGCCGGAAGGCAAGGCAGGAGGGCGGAGAGGAGAGGGAGAGGGGGAAAGCAAGTGGGACGGGGGGAGGAAAGGAGCGGAAAAGGGAGGCGACGGGGGGGCACGGAATGGAGACCGAGGGGAACCTATGGACCAATCAGCGAAAGGCACCGCAAACAGTGGAAGCCGATTGGCTGGGGAACTGGAGCTGGCGACCCCGGTGAATCTGCGGCCAATCAAAACGGGCGTCAGTGCGAATGCTGCTGCGAGCTTGGCATCCCTCCCACCCCCCCCATCCCCGCCCTGTCCCCCATCTCCCCCATCAGGAGCAATGGGGCTGGGAGGGAGCCTTTTAGGTTCGGCCAAGTCGTTTGCCCGGGCGTTTAGCTTCGGTGCCAAGGGAGGTCCGGTAACAGGTGCGGGTGGTAGGGCGGGAATGCCTCGGCCCCGAATCGGCCCGTCCATGTCAGCTTCGGAGCTGCTCTCGTCCGTCCCTTCCTCCACGTCAGCAGCACTACAGGACAAGACGGCTACGAGACAAGAGCCGCAGAGAGGGTTATCTGGGGTAGGTTCATCTGGGGTAGGTGCATCTGGTGTTGAGGCAGGCAGCGAGGCGTGGAGGAGGATAGGCGGAGGGGGCCCTGCTGCTGCCAGAACTGGCACTGCTGCTGGCGTTGCTGCCACTGCCACTGCCGCTGCTGCCGCTGTCGCTTCTACCGGTGCAGCAACTGGTGCTGGTGGTGGTGCTAGTGGTGGTGTAAGAGGTTCTTCTGGTATGGGAGGTGCTTCTAACGGAGTGGGTAGAGAGCAGGGCGATGGACGGCCGCACACGCACTTGAATGGGCATGGCGGGGAGGACTGGAAGGGACGGGGGAATGGGCGAGGGCATGGGCAAGTGAATGGGCAGGGGCATGGGCAGGGTGGGGGTTGGGGAAGGCACGCTGGGGAAGGGGGAAGGGGAGAGTGGGGGGATGGGGGAGAGCCGGATGGGGGAAGAGCGAGCAGTGGGGGGCGGGGAGGATGGGGGGAGAGAAGAAGGGGAGGTGGGGAGTGGGAAGAGGGGGAGTGGGGAAGAGAGCGATGGGGACGAGAGGGGTGGGGGGGAGGACCATGGGGGGAAGAGGGAGCGTGGGGAGGGGAAGCGGCCGGGGCAAGAGAAGGATCCGGGGGGTGGTGGGGAGAAGCAGCGGAGGGAAAATGGGATGGTGGGTGGTGGGGAGGGAGGGGGGCTGACAGGGGAAGAGGAGGATGGGGAGGAGGAGGAGGGCGAGAAAGGGAATGGGGAGGAGGAGGAGGACGAGGAATGGGCATGGGCGACAGAGGCATGGGTATGGGCATGGGGGGAGGGATGGGAGGGGCGGGTGGCGTGTCGGCCTGGCAGCAGCAGCGGCCCTTCCCTGGTTGGCCTGGGGGGCCTGGGGGGTACCCGCCCTTCCATGGCTACTCCAACCGCAAGCCGTGGTGGCAGCGTTGCACTCTCTGGCTCCTCTGGATACTCGTAAGGCCTGTGGATACTTGTGTGGTTTCCTGCTGCCCTGCCCACTGTATGCTCACTAGCTCTCTATCCCATCCCTGCTCTTCCTACCCTTCCTCGCATACTCCCCCCTGCCAGGCCCCCTTTTCCGCCTCCCGTCCCTTGTAACATCAGATCAGCCCCCCTCCACACTCGCCCCTCCTCATACTGCCGGCGTCCATATGCTGGCTGTCTGTCCCGTGTGTGTGTGTGTGTGTGTGTGTGTGTGTGTGTGTGTGTGTGTGTGTGTGTGTGTGTGTGTGTGTGTGTGTGTGTGTGTGTTGCATTGCATCCCAACGGCAGGCCATCGCCGCTGCCTTGGCTCTCGTCGCCTGGTGCATCCACGAGCGCTCGCGAGCCGATGCTCTGCAGGTGACCTCTCTGTCCGTCCTTTTACATGCACCCTTCTCTGAGCAGTGAGCACATTCATTGCACTGCAGTGCAGTGCAGTGCGGTACGGTGCTCTGCAGTGCAGTGCATTGTCTGCCCCGCCCCCTCTTTCACTTTCCTCCACCCACCTGCCATTCCAACCACCCACCACCCACCACTGTCTCCCCATTCCCACCCACCTGTTCCTTCCACCTGTGAGTGCTCATAGAGCCGCAGCACTGCATCACCATTCCTCACCCCTCACCACCCACCACTGTCTCCGCTACCAACCCCCCCCCCCCCCCAGTTCCACCTGCGAGTGCTCATAGAGCGCCAGCACCGCATCACACAGCGCCTGCACTCCGGTGCCTGGGGGGACAGCGGCAGCAGCACCACCGGCAGCAGCAGCAGCAGCAGCACTGGGAGCAGCAGCAGCAGTAGCAGTAGTGGGGCGGCATGGTGGGAAGACATGGTCATGCTCCCCACTGGCGGGCGGGCGGCGACAGCTGGCATCTTGCTCCAGCCAATCAGAGGCAAAGGAGGAAGTGGGGAAGGAGAGGGGGAGAAGGAAAGATGCGGAAGGCGTGAGAGGGTGGGAGACAGCAGCAGGGGGAGGGAGCGAGGGAAGGAAGAGGAGAAAGAGGTGGAGGAGGAGGAAGGGGAAGGTGGAGGAGGAGGAGACCCGGAGGGTGACGAAGTGGTGTGGCGACGATTGGCTCTATTCACCTCGCTGCTCTGCTTCCTCCTCCCCCTAGTGCTCGCCAAACACATGGACAGGATCGCTGCCTTCCTCCACCTCGACCCCCCCAAAACCGAGCAAACACCCGTCACCCCCGCACTGAGCCACTTGTCACCGCACCACACCGCAGCACAGCAGCACAGGCGGGGAGGAGCAGCAGGGGCACTGCAAGGGGCAGCGGGGGGGAGTGTGAGCAGCCCGGGCTTAGCCCATGGCATCCGGCAAGGGGGGGGGGCGGGGGGCAATGGACAGGGGGGTGCAGGAGGAGCCCATGGGCAGAGCCATGGGGTGGGCGGCCAAGGGGAGGAGGTGGCAGCAGCGCCGTTCAGCAAGCGCCTGGCGTACCGAGTGGATGTGCTCTTCTCCACTCACTCCTATGTTAAGAGCCTTGCGCTGCTCACTGCCACTCTTGTGCTGTGAGTCGCCTCTCTCCGCCACCTCCCCGTCCCGCTTTCGATGCAGTGTGCCGATTTTGGCATGCATTGCATTCAGCCCAACTCGTGGCTCCAAATCCCCCCCTCCCCTCCTCCTCCTCTGTAGCCCCCCTTAACTCATTCGTTCCAACTCCCCTTGTCTCCCTTTCTTCCGCCCACCCTAATGCCGCCCAATCCCGCCGCCCGATCTCGCCCCGTCCAGCATCGCGGTGGGCGGCCTGGCCCTGTACGCAGTGAGTGGCAAGGAGCGTCTTGTTCTGGCCGACGCCACGTGGCGGGCCTGGACCTACGTGGCAGATGCGGGTAACCACGCGGACAGCGAGGGTGTGGGGCCGCGTGTGGTGAGCGTGAGTGTGAGCATCGGCGGCATGCTGGTGTTTGCGCTGATGGTGGGGTTGGTGTCGGAGGGCATCTCAGAGAAGGTGGACTCGCTCCGGAAGGGCAAGAGCGACGTCATCGAGCACAACCACACGCTCATCCTCGGCTGGAGCGACAAGCTGGTAAGTTCTGGAGATGGGGATGGGGCTCCTTCTTTCTCTCCATTTTGCGCTCCTTCCCTCCTCCCTCCCTCCCCCCTCCCTCCCCCCTCCCTCCCCCCTCCCCCCCCCCCCTCCTCCCTCCTCTCCCTCCCTCCTGTCCCCCTCCTTTCTCTCTCTTTCTCTGTGCTGGTACTGGTGTGGTGAGCGTGTGGTGGCCGTGAGTGTGAGCATCGGCGGCATACTGGTGTTTGTGCTGATGGTGGGGTTGGTGTCGGAGGGCATCTCAGAGAAGGTGGATTCGCTCCGGAAGGGCAAGAGCGACGTCATCGAACACAACCACACGCTCATCCTCGGCTAGAGCGACAAGCTCGTGAGTTGCGGGAATGGGGATGGGGATGGGGATGGGGATGGGGATGGGGATGGGGATGGGGATGGGGATTGCACTGGTGGGAGGGTTAGAGCGACGTCATCGAGTGCAACAACACACTCATTGTGCCTCCTACCTTCTCTCTACCCCCCCGCTTCCCCCCCCCCCCCCCTCGTCTCCTCCCAGGCGTAGCTGCTGAAGCAGCTGGCAGTGGCGAATGAGAGCATGGGGGGGGGTGTTGCGGTGGTGATTTATGTTGATCCCGTGTTTCTCTCTGTCTCCCCCATCGCCCGTGCCCCTCATGCCCATCTCCACCCTCCCAGGCGTCGCTGCTGAAGCAGCTGGCGGTGGCGAATGAGAGCATGGGGGGGGGCGTGGTGGTGGTGATGGCGGAGCGGGACAAGGAGGAGATGGAGAGCGAAATCTCCAAGATGGAGTTTGCCTTCAAAGGCACCTCCGTCATCTGCAGGTGCGCTCTCTTGGAGTGAGGCTAGCTAGCAACCGACATAGTGTAACTGCCAAACTGACGTAACTAATGGCACCAAGTCGCCAAGGAGGACAAGGAGGAGATGGAGAGTCGATTTTTGAGTCGACTCAAAGATGGAGAGCAAGATTGCCAAGATGGAATTCGCATTCAAAGGCACCTCCGTCATCTGCAGGTGCGCTCTCTTGGATGAGGCGACCAACCAGCGTACGGTAACCACCAAACCTCTGTAACTAACGTTCTGTAAGGTGCGCTCTCTTAGAATCGGGCTGTCAACATAAGTGTACCATTCTTTAGGTGGGCTTGCAGTGCAGCCTCGCAGAGGCAGAGACCACCGCGCTGCTGAAGCGCGCTGGCTGGCACCACTCGCTCTCCCCCTTCCGCACAGGGACGAGGGGGGTCCTCCCCGCCTCCGCATGGATCAGTGAGCACAGCGCGCTCTCTCATCGTGCTGCCTGACGACGACGATGTGGGTGCCCTCACGCGGCGGATGTGGGTGCCCTCACGTGGCGGATGTGGATGCAGGTCTTTTCTGGTCTTTGAGAGTTCTCAAAAGCCAGCGCGCCTCCCTCTCCTGCAGACTTAAAGACGGTGTCAGTGAGCACAGCACGTTCTCTCATCGTGCTGGCCACGTTCTCTGCCTTGCATCGCTCCTCGACCCCCCTTTCCCCCTCTCCCCCCCCACAGGTCCGGCTCCCCCCTGGTCCTACCCGACCTGAAGAAGGTGTCAGTGAGCACGGCGCGCTCACTCATCGTACTGGCAGAAGCTCAGTCCCCCTCTCACCCCACCCTGCTTCTCTCCTCCCCTCCCTCGCAGGTCTTGCTCCCCACTCGTTCTCGCGGACCTGAAGAAGGTGTCAGTGAGCACGGCGCGCTCACTCATCGTGCTGGCGAAGGTGCTGTGGCGGCTCTGTCCTGCTCGCTCCCCCAACCCACACTGCTTCCCCCCTCCCCTCTCCGACAGGTCCGGCTCCCCTCTTGTGCTAGCCGACTTAAAGAAGGTGTCAGTGAGCACGGCGCGCTCACTCATCGTGCTGGCAGAAGCGGAAAACGCGGATGCAGCGGATGCACGCGCGTTGAGGGTGGTGCTGTCGCTCACTGGCGTGCGCGAGGGGCTGCGAGGGCACATCGTGGTGGAGCTCAGTGACCTGGATAACGAGGCTCTGGTGAAGGTGAGGGCAGCATGTGAGGTAGTATCTAGCAGCATGTGAGGTAGTATCTAGCAGCATGTAAGGTAGTATCTAGCAGCATGTAAGGTAGTATCTAGCAGCATGTAAGGTAGTATCTAGCAGCATGTGAGGTAGTATCTAGCAGTCTAGGAGTCCAGTAACGCAGCAGCTCTAGAGTGGTGCTTTGCTTTCAGTCTGAGGGAGGGGCTGCGAGGGCACATTGTGGTGGAGCTCAGTGATTTGGACAACGAGGCGTTGGTGAAGGTGAGGTTGATGAGTGGGGGCAGGGAGAGTAGGGCTGTGATGTGGAGTGTGGCATTCAGGTGAGGGAGGGGGCTGTTGAGGGGCTGCGAGAACACATTGTGGTGGAGCTGAGTGAACTTGACAACGAGGCACTGGTGAAGGTGAGAGCAATACGTGAGGGAGTAACCTAATAGCCTGGTAGAATGAGGTTGGTGTCTGTGGGCGAGTCTGAGTGTGCTCGAGGGGCTGAGTGAGAGGGCACATTGTGGTGGAGCTCAGTGACCTGGATAACGAGGCTCTGGCGAAGCTGAGGGTGATGGGTTGGGGACAGGGAAAGGAGTGCCATGATGAGGTGGCAGGGAGCGAGGGGCTGCGAGGGCAGATTGTGGTGGAGCTCAGTGATTTGGATAACGAGGCACTGGTGAAGGTGAGGGTTTAGTGGCAGGGAGGTGGAAAGCGGGGGATGGGGGAAGGAGGGATGCGATGTGGAGTGTGTCGTTTTGGAGTGAGGGAGGGAGAGAGGGGCTGAGGGCACATTGTGGTGGAGTCAGTGACTTGGATAACGAGGCACTGGTGAAGGTGAGGGCAGCGCGTGAAGAATTAGCCTGGTAAAGTGGTAACCTGGTAGCCTGCTAGCATGAGGGTGCTGTTGCTCACTGGCGTACGCGAGAGGCTGCCAATATTTCCCGCCCCTTCCAATTCCAAGCCTGCACGCCTCCACACACCTTCCCCAATATAAGACCTCCGCAGCCCACCTGTCTGCGTCTGACAGCGCCTGCACGCCTCCACACACCTTCCCCACCTCTCCCCACCGCCCCCTCCCTGCTGCCTCCCATCCCTCTCCTGTCACCCCTGCTTCCACACAGATGGTGGGAGGGCAGCAGGTGGAGACAGTGGTAGCACACGACGTGATAGGGCGGCTCATGATTCAGTGCGCTCGGCAGCCAGGGCTGCTAATGTTTCCCCCGCTCTCCCCACCCCATCCCTCCCCCTCTCTCCCCCACCGCTGCCCCCTTCCCCCCTGCCTCCACGCAGATGGTGGGAGGGCAGCAGGTGGAGACAGTGGTAGCACACGACGTGATAGGGCGGCTCATGATTCAGTGCGCGCGGCAACCAGGCCTAGCGCAGATATGGGAGGCGCTGCTGGGGTTTGACAACTGCGAGTTCTACGTCAAGCACTGGCCTCAGCTCGCTGGGAAGCCCTTCAGCGACGTGCTGATCTCGTTTCCCGATGCTGTGCCGTGTGGCGTGCGGATCGCCGGGGATGGAGGAAGGATCTGGCTCAATCCAGATGATGATTATGTGCTACAGGTGAGGTTCGAGGGGATGGGAGGGTGTGGTGCAGGTGGGAAGGGGTGGGGGGTTGCAGGTGAGGGGGCCAGCCGGGGCTGGCGCAGATATGGGAGGCGCTGGTGGGGTTCGACAACTGTGAGTTCTACGTCAAACACTGGCCGCAGCTCGCTGGGAAGCCGTTTAGTGACGTGCTCATCTCGTTTCCGGATGCTGTGCCGTGTGGAGTGAGGATTTCCGGGGATGGAGGAAGGATATGGCTCAACCCAGATGACGATTACGTGCTGCAGGTGAGGGGGAAAAGGAAGGGTGCTGCAGGTGGGGGAGGAGTTGCAGGTGGGAGGGGGGAGGGGGGAGGGGGAGTGGGCTGCAAGAGAGTGCAGTTCACGGCGTGCTGATTAAGAAGCTGCAGGTGATGACATGATTGTGTGCACCACCACCGCCGCCGCTCCCTTGGCAAAGGTTCCAACGCATGTCCTCTTCCCCCCACCCACCACATCCGTCGCTCCCCTGGTGACACGCTCCATCCGCCTCCCCCGTTGGCCTGTGTGTGTGACCATGAGTGGGTTGTCACAAGTTTCCCACCAACTCATCACTGTGTTCCCCTTCCCTCCATCCCCCTCTCACTGCTGTCAGCCCGACGATGCAGTGCTGGTGGTGGCAGAGGATGATGTGTACACGCCCGGCTCGTGAGTGACAAGTCACAATTATCAACTTCTCACATCCTCTTTTCTATCGCTCCAACCCTTTCTGACCGCTAGCCGGACGATGCAGAGATGGTGGTGGCGGAAGACGACGACTCGTACGCGCCCGGTCCAGTATCTGCTATCTGAGAAGCTACTCACTAGCGCATCTCTGTGTTTCCCATCACTACAACCCCCTCACACCACCGCCAGCCCGACGATGCAGTGCTGGTGGTGGCGGAGGATGACGACTCGTATGCGCCCGGTCCAGTCCGTGACTGCTAACTCAGAAGCTAATCCTAGTGCATCCCTCTCTTTCTCTTCCCGTCCCTCCATCCCCCATCACCACTTTCAGCCCGACGATGCAGTGCTGGTGGTGGCGGAGGATGATGACTCCTATGCGCCCGGTCCGCTGCCCCACGTGCGCCACGCCATGCTGCCCGATGTCGTCGTGCCGCCCAAGCTGCCCGAAAAGATTCTATTCTGCGGATGGCGGCGGGACATCGACGACATGATTGTGGTGCGGCAATTGTTGTGATTTTATTCTACAGATGGGTTGCTGTGCCATGTGAGGGCAGGTGCAGCAGCATGCCATGCCATGCCATGCCATGCCATGCCATGCCATGCCATGCCATGCCATGCCGTGTCATGACACGTGCCACATTGTTGAGTCTTACGTTGGAGTTTCCACCGTGCTCTCGTGGCATGGCGTGTTGTTAGCCTCCCATGTTGTTCGCTTGTCGCTCACTTGTTGCTCCCAACCCCCTCTCCTTCCCCGGCAGGTGCTCGAAGCCTTTCTTGCCCGTGGCTCGGAGCTGTGGATATTCTGTGAGGTGCCGGTGGAGGAGAGGGAGGAGAGGCTGATGGAGGGCGGGCTCAACCCGGGCGACCTGGAGAACGTGGCGCTTGTGCACCGCGTCGGCAATGCTGTCATCCGTCGCCACCTCGAAAGCCTTCCTCTTGAGACCTTCGACTCGGTGAGCCACCGTTTAGACTCGGTGAGCCATGAAGACTGGGCCCCACCCCACGTCCATCCTTCATCAGCACCTGGAGAATGTGGCGCGAGTTCATCGAGGCGTTTTGAGACGTCTCAAAACACTTCAAGAATGTGGCGCTCGGTCATCGAGGGTCATCGAGGGTCATCGAGGGTCATCGAGGGTCATCGAGGGTCATCGAGGGTCATCGAGGGTCATCGAGGGTCATCGAGGGTCATCGAGGGTCATCGAGGTTCATCGAGGGTCATCGAGGGTCATCGAGGGTCATCGAGGGTCATCGAGGGTCATCGAGGGTCATCGAGGTTCATCGAGGGTCATCGAGGGTCATCGAGGTTCATCGAGGGTCATCGAGGGTCATCGAGGTTCAACGCTGTCATCCGCCGCCACCTTGAAAGCCTCCCGCTCGAGACTTTTCACTCAGTGAGCCTCCTAGCTATATAGTGCAGTCAATTGTGAGAGTTCTCACAAGTGGTCTGACACTCAGTGAGCTGCTGCTTCTGAAGTGATCCCAACCTCTCTGAACCTCGATCACGTGTTCTTTCCTCTCGCTGCTCTCTCCACTCGCCCTCGCCCTCCCTCTCAGATCCTCATTGTGGCGGAGGAGAGGGTGGAGAGAAGTCGGTGATCAAACCGCACTCACACTCACTCTCAAGTGCTGTTGTTACCTTCTCTCTTCCCTCCTTCCCCTATCTCTTGTCTCTCTCTCTCCCCTTTACAGATCCTCATTCTAGCTGACGAAGGCGTGGAGGACTCGGTGATCAACTCTGACTCGCGCTCGCTCGCCACGCTGCTGCTCATCCGAGACATCCAGGTGAGTACTGCACGGGGGAGGTGGGAGGGAGTGTAGATGCTATCTGGGGACGGTGGAAGCTGTGTCAACCATCAACTCTGACTTGGTGAATACTCTAGATAGGCAGGTTTCTTGCCCAACTTGGCCGCCGCCTCAAACTGGGGCGGTGAAATGAACGCATGGGCTGTTGGAAGTTCACACCCCAACAGTACATGGCCAACTTCCGACACCCTCCCAGCCAAGTTGTAATCCTGAAGATTTGCCAATTCGAGCCGTTCCTTATCAGCACCTGTGATCCCTATATTTTGCCGGGTAGAACGAACAGTTGGAAATGTTACATTCACCCTTTGGCCGGCCGGGGTAGAAGGGTTGCAGCTCCCCAACAGCTCTGCTGCTCGTCCAATGCAATTACTCTCTCACTTGCTTAGGGCAATCACACCCCACCTACGATGTGGTTCTTGAGGTGCCTGTAAATACTCCTCCTGCCTGCCCCCCTCACACCCCACCTCTCCTTATGCCCTTCTTTTTCCTCCTCTCCCTCCTCTTCCCCTGCAGTCCAAGCGCATGCCCTACGAGGTCTGCTTCTCTGGCGCCCCTGCCCGCGGGCCCCCGCGCAACGCACACATCGTGCCCGGCGCTGCTGCCGCTGCCGCCGCCGCCGCTGCCGCTTTCGCTGCTGGTGGCCTGGGAGCAGCAGCATCAGGGGCAGGCGCAGGGGTCGGGGCGGGGGCTGATGGTGCTGCTGGACCCAGTGGGATCGGGAACGGGAATGGGAATGGGGGCTCGTGGATCAGGCAGATGCAGAAGGCGTCGCAGCAGTCGATTGTGATTTCCGAGATTCTCGACTCGCGCACGCGATCCCTCGTGGCCGTGTCCAAGATCAGTGACTATGTGCTCTCTAATGAGCTCGTTTCCATGGCCCTGGCAATGGTACGTGGATGTGCATGGTCTGCGCATCAGGATTGATAGTAAGACTGCTCTTCCCCTTGCTCCCATGCTCTTCCATAAGCTCCCTCGTTACCGTGTCCAAGATCAGCGACAATGTGCTCTCCAACGAGCTCGTCTCCATGGCCCTGGCAATGGTGAGACACTCCCTTGCTCCTCCACCCCTTCACTGGATTCCCGCACACAGTCCCTCGTCGCGGTGTCTTGAATCAGCGACTATGTGCTCTCCGAATAGCTTGTTTCCATCGCCCTGGCTGTGGTGGGTGCTTGGGTTGAGCATGAGGGTCAATGGTACGACATTCCTTTGCTCGTCGACTGAAGCCCGCGCTCGTGTCTGTTTCTAAAATCAGAGACTCTCTGCTCTCTCGCTAATAAGCTCATTTTCATCGTGACAACCCAAATATCCTCGTGGCTCTGAATTTGCTCTTCAAACCATGTGCGTACCAAATGCGACCCATGCGTGGGCATGCAGGTGTCAGAGGATCGGGAGATCAACCACGTGCTGGAAGAGCTCTTCTCAGATTTTTGAGATATCTCTCAAGCCTGCCAAACACGGCGCTCCCTCCGCCCCTATTCCTCCGTGGGCATGCAGGTGTCAGAGGATCGGGAGATCAACCGCGTGCTGGAAGAGCTCTTCTCAGAAGAGGTATGCTTCCTGCCTGAGAAGAGCTCATTATTCCTCTCGTTCTAGCCCGGTCTTCATTCACCTTCGTTGGCTGCTATTCTGAACCTCATAAGCACTGCTCTCGCGGCCACACACCTGATTGTATGTGCATGCAGCCTATTGTATTCATGCATGCAGCCTATTGTATTCATGCATGCAGCAGGGGCATCACCATCCATTCCATCCCCATACTCAACAGCCTCTTCCCACATCCAACCAACCAGGGCAATGAGATGTACATTCGCCCAGCGGAGCTGTGTTTATACGAGGGGGAGGAGGTGAGCTTCTTCGAGGTGATGGTGTGTTTTTACGCCACTCTAAACTCCCACTCCACCACCCCTGATCCCATCCCCCCAACCAGGGCAATGAGATGTACATTCGCCCAGCAGAGCTCTATTTGTACGAGGGCGAGGAGCTGAGCTTCTTCGGGGTGATGGTGCGTGCGCAGCGCCTCACAACCCCATCCCATCCCTGATTCGATACCATCCCTCATCCCACCCACCAACCAGGGCAATGAGATGTACATTCGCCCAGCGGAGCTCTATTTGTACGAGGGCGAGGAGCTGAGCTTCTTTGGAGTGATGGTGCGTGCGCAGCGCCTCACAACCCCATCCCATCCCTGATTCGATACCATCCCTCATCCCACCCACCAACCAGGGCAATGAGATGTACATTCGCCCAGCGGAGCTCTATTTGTACGAGGGCGAGGAGCTGAGCTTCTTTGAAGTGATGGTGCGTGCGCAGCGCCTCACAACCCCATCCCATCCCTGATTCGATACCATCCCTCATCCCACCCACCAACCAGGGCAATGAGATGTACATTCGCCCAGCGGAGCTCTATTTATACGAGGGCGAGGAGCTGAGCTTCTTCGGGGTGATGGTGCGTGCGCAGCGCCTCACAACCCCATCCCATCCCTGATTCGATACCATCCCTCATCCCACCCACCAACCAGGGCAATGAGATGTACATTCGCCCAGCGGAGCTCTATTTGTACGAGGGCGAGGAGCTGAGCTTCTTTGAAGTGATGGTGCGTGCGCAGCGCCTCACAACCCCATCCCATCCCTGATTCGATACCATCCCTCATCCCACCCACCAACCAGGGCAATGAGATGTACATTCGCCCAGCGGAGCTCTATTTATACGAGGGCGAGGAGCTGAGCTTCTTCGGGGTGATGGTGCGTGCGCAGCGCCTCACAACCCCATCCCATCCCTGATTCGATACCATCCCTCATCCCACCCACCAACCAGGGCAATGAGATGTACATTCGCCCAGCGGAGCTCTATTTGTACGAGGGCGAGGAGCTGAGCTTCTTTGAAGTGATGGTGCGTGCGCAGCGCCTCACAACCCCATCCCATCCCTGATTCGATACCATCCCTCATCCCACCCACCAACCAGGGCAATGAGATGTACATTCGCCCAGCGGAGCTCTATTTATACGAGGGCGAGGAGCTGAGCTTCTTCGGGGTGATGGTGCGTGCGCAGCGCCTCACAACCCCATCCCATCCCTGATTCGATACCATCCCTCATCCCACCCACCAACCAGGGCAATGAGATGTACATTCGCCCAGCGGAGCTCTATTTGTACGAGGGCGAGGAGCTGAGCTTCTTTGAAGTGATGGTGCGTGCGCAGCGCCTCACAACCCCATCCCATCCCTGATTCGATACCATCCCTCATCCCACCCACCAACCAGGGCAATGAGATGTACATTCGCCCAGCGGAGCTCTATTTATACGAGGGCGAGGAGCTGAGCTTCTTCGGGGTGATGGTGCGTGCGCAGCGCCTCACAACCCCATCCCATCCCTGATTCGATACCATCCCTCATCCCACCCACCAACCAGGGCAATGAGATGTACATTCGCCCAGCGGAGCTCTATTTGTACGAGGGCGAGGAGCTGAGCTTCTTTGAAGTGATGGTGCGTGCGCAGCGCCTCACAACGCCATCCCATCCCTGATTCGATACCATCCCTCATCCCACCCACCAACCAGGGCAATGAGATGTACATTCGCCCAGCGGAGCTCTATTTATACGAGGGCGAGGAGCTGAGCTTCTTCGGGGTGATGGTGCGTGCGCAGCGCCTCACAACCCCATCCCATCCCTGATTCGATACCATCCCTCATCCCACCCACCAACCAGGGCAATGAGATGTACATTCGCCCAGCGGAGCTCTATTTGTACGAGGGCGAGGAGCTGAGCTTCTTTGAAGTGATGGTGCGTGCGCAGCGCCTCACAACCCCATCCCATCCCTGATTCGATACCATCCCTCATCCCACCCACCAACCAGGGCAATGAGATGTACATTCGCCCAGCGGAGCTCTATTTGTACGAGGGCGAGGAGCTGAGCTTCTTTGAAGTGATGGTGCGCGCGCGGCAGCGCCTGGAGATTGTGATTGGCTACCGCCTGGGCGGCGAGGAGGTGGCGGTGCTTAACCCGCCCAACAAGAGCGCCGCCCGGCAGTGGTCGCTCAGCGATGCGTTCATCGTGCTCTCTTTGGAGGAATGAGGAATGATGAACCGCACCGATCGGCAAGGTGACTTTTGAGTCGGCTCACATACAAGCTGACTCACAAGTCGGTCGCCCAACAAGAGCACCACCCGGCAGTGGTCGCTGAGTGACGCCTTCATCGTGCTCTCTTTGGAGGAGTGACTGACCGCTTTTTGAGTAGACTCACACACAAGTCACGCCAAGTGACAGGTCACACGCGCAATGACACCTTCGCCGTGATGTCCCTGGAGGAGTGGTCTACAAGGTGACTTTTCAGTCGCCTCACACACACACACACAGGTTCGCTCACGACACGAGTCGGCCGGCCGACAAGAGCTCTGCGCTCCAGTGGTCTGTGAGTGGTGCATCTGTTGTGCTGTGCTGCTGATGCTGGGGTGCCTAACAGGTCATAATCAACACCCATCTGACGGCAGTAACACAAAGTTTGTAATGTGTTTAAATGCTCAGCTATGGCATAATGTATTTAAATGTTTAATCAGGAATAGTGTTTCCTAGGGGGCCCTGTGTGTGCTGTGCATAGTGTATTTTCTAGGCTCTAGGCAATTGAAGTAGACAGGTGGACCTGAAGGCCTGTTCTGTTTACCATACCATGTGATGATTGATGGTTCTTGTTTGTCGCTCTTTTTTAGCAGTTTGATTGTTTCTGGAAATCTGCAGTTTTTATCCACAAGTACACCTAAGTATGGTAGACTGGCGTTGCTGTTCTGATTCTGGGTCCCGTCATCCTGGTCCTGGGGCAAGCAAAGCAAACACTAGATGTACTGCCACATGCAACCCACAATCCATGATCGGGAGTAGCCCCTGAATTGTCGTCAGCATGTACAGTATCAAGGCTGTCTCTCACAGGCAGATGCTAACCTTGAGAACAGAGGCACAACTACTGGTAGTGCAGTCTCTCTCCATATAATTTTATTCACAACAATGGCAATCAGCATAGCACTTGATTTCATTGCACTTGCATCTTACGGTAGCGTTCCTACTGGGTATAGTCTTCCCGTTTCTAAGAGCGTATTCCTACGGGGCCACCTCGTATCAAGAATGCTCCTCCTGCCTGTAAATTGACAACCTCGCCAAAACCTCGTATCAGAAAAAGTTGCCGGTTAACCCACATGTGCGACTCCAATCAAAAGCTGATGTGGCATGTTGCGACCCAGCATGAACAAGCGCCCCGACGAACATAAAAAACGTGCCACGAGAGCATAGGGTGGGACGAGCACCAAAATGTCTCCACCCGAGAAGCACATTTCAGTCCTCTAACCCAGACCACATTGAAAGCCGGTACATAGTACGAAAACCCACCACGATCGGCAAAGTAGCCATGTAGAGGCCTCTTCAAAATGACAGACGTTCCCTTCCTGCCACGGCTGTTAATAGTCTGGCACGCATTTTACTTCGACACCTTCTTAAACAGTGCAATAAACTCGTGCAGTAAGCTTCTGGAGCAGATTAGCACAGCTGAACTAGAAGATACTAATTATGAGACGCGAGGGGAATTACGAGCGCGAAATCGTCTCTTACGGCGGCGACGCCTCGGCGTCTGGGAGGACGAAATGGCTTCAATGTCCGAAGAGACCTTCATCGACCTTTTCCGCATCAATCGCGCTATTCTGGATTACATAAGCGAAGGCATGGCTCACGTGCTAAACCCCGTCATACAACGACATTGCATTCCGATGAAGGTCGCCGTGCTCATACCGATCAAGTACTTTGCGAGTGCCATGGCGTACGTGGACCTTGCGTTTTGGTTTGGCGTGCCAAAAACACTATGTCATCGCCTCGTCGACATCTTCCTTCAGAACTTTCCAACCATCTTCAAAGCAGCCTGGGTCCGTTTCCCAACACAAGAGGAGATGCACGACATGGCGGAAGAGTTTAGGGGCATCAAAGGTGTGCCCATGGTGGTGGGTGCAATTGACGGTACACACGTACAAATTCGCGGAATGGAGGGCCACAGGGCAGAATACTACACGCGGAAATCACAATACACCGTGCAGCTTCAAGTTACAAGCGATGCAAGAGGGATGATATGGGACTATCTAATCGGCTATCCAGGCACCGCGCATGACCAGAGGGTGTTTGTCCTGTCAAGCCTCTACGAAAGACTAGAAAGGGGTGACATCGCGCCATATCAACTGCTGGGCGACGCCGCCTACCCACTCCGGAGCTACTGCCTTACTCCATTACATGCTCCTACCGGACGCCTAATGCTCGAGTGGGAGCAAACCTTCAATTATTGCCAATCCGCAACACGCATGCCGGTGGAGCGAACTATCGGCCAACTCAAAGGACGATACCGCCTCTTCGCTGGACGACATGAGTGTGCGTTATGGCGAGTCCTTGCCGGCGCCAGTTGTGTGGTAATCCTGCACAACATGGGACTCAAGATGGCGAGTGCAAGGTTGAAAACGACAAATCACACGTGGGCAGCGCGGTTGATTAACCAAGACCCCTGGTGGACGAGAGGCGAACTTGCCGAATATGATTGGTGTGCCGATCTAGCCGTGACCAAGACCGATCTGAAGGAGCGTCGGAAACGGCTTGGGGTGGCGCTTCACGAGGAGTACCTTAAGCGACGTCGGAGCGGTGATGCCACACCTCCACGTCGTCATTGATGGTCGCACCTCCCTCTGTATCCTCGCCTGACGGCCCCGATTCCCCCGCTCGGTTGCTTCCGAAATTGAGTGGACGGCTTGTTTGCGACTGCTGAGTCGCCATCCATTCGCGAATCACGCCGGTGATTTGCGACACGCCCTCCTGAGAGCACTGCTTGAATGTGTCGGCCAATAGCTGAGCGGCCGCCATGGTGGCCGTCTCGTTGATACGGCGACGAGCACTCGGTGGGGTGTTACGGACTGCAGGCACGAGTGGGAAAGGGGGTGGAATTAAGATGTATGTTCCAATGTCCAGTTAATGATACATTTGTTTCGCGGAGAAGCCATGCAAATAACAAACTAAAACGGTTAACCAAAACAACCATGCTAATGCTGGCAGACGGTATACATACCTGTGTTTGGCGTCGGATTGCTGGTAGGTGGCTTGGGTACCTTCAAACCTGGGTCTACGGTTACGTCAACCGCACCGCCACCGTCCAGCGCGTGTGGCTCAGCAGCAGCAGTATCTTCGTAGAAAAGAACCATCCACTCCCACCACGGGGGTTTAATCACCGTGGCGCCCCCCGAGGCGGTATCCCCCTTTTCTATCTGCTTCCATAGCGCCTTAAGACGTTTCCACTGATTGGAGCATGCTGTGGCGTTCCTGCACCAATCGGTATGCTTCAGCGTAATGTGTTCGACGAGGCGTAACCAATATTGAGACCCTTGTTTACCCGTCATCTTGTTCAGCTCTTCTTTTGTAAACCAACGCGCGGCCACCAGAATGGTTGACTCTTTCATCGACCAGTCAGAGTTCGGTCCTTTCCCCAAGGTGTCGTGAGTCTTCTTCTCGGCCCGGCTACGCTCCTTGCCCTTTCCGCGAGCCGTGGCACGGGTGACGGCGCCACGTTTCTTGCCCGTTCTGACAGGAGAGTCAGAGCGGTCATCAGGCGGGCCATTGTACTCCGCATCGCCGCACCACGCCGCAACTGGGTCGTCCTCGTCTTCATCACCGTCACCGTCGTCGTCTCCCATCTCTTTGTCCGTGTCGATCTCGTCCGAGTCGTAGTCGGCATGCAAACCGACATGGCTCGGGCCGGCATTGACGCGTGGTGGGACAGCAGGGTTAGCGGGAATCTGTCCCACATTTCGCAAGGGTTTCGCAGTCGGTCTTCCTGCGGCGAGTTCCGCGTTCATCCAGGCGACATAAGCAAGATCCTCCGGACGCCATGAGTCGTCGTCTGCGTTGCTAACTTGGTCTTTACGCTTACGGGCCATGATGTTGGCAGTATGATAGATTGAGCATCAACATCACCGTGAAGTTGCATTTTGTATTGAAAAGTGTTTGAAGAGGGAGGTGGAGTGGGCGATGTGTGTTTGGATGACAGGGCAGCTGAACTGGTGGACGTGCGGGGAATGGTGTACGAGTCGCTATGCATCTGACTAAAGAGGTGACACGGAAAGTTGGCACACTCTGCACGTTCGCGCGCGGCGCACGACTGCCACCGTGTGCAGTTTCGCATGAATGTTTGTCGGCCGCATTCACAGGGCTGACGCCTTTACGTCAACTGGAACCGTGCGTCGGTAAACCTGCACGTTCACTTCTGGGTGTGCGAGCATTCTCATTGGTGCGCTGGTTGGGTCTATTCTTGATATAAGGTGTTTTATACCGTAAACATAAGTCAATTCCATTCTTGATACGAGGTGGCCCCGTAGGAATACGCTCTAAGATCCACCCCACATGAATACTACCGTACCAGCCCGCAAGGGAACGCCAGAAATGAACGTCCCCTCATGAAGCCACTTGAGCCCCCTGTGCTGCATCAATATCACGTGTCCTGCCATTCGACTCAGCAGCATCAGGCGTGGCATCGGGGAAAGCACCGATGTCGTGCGCTTCGGGCACCGCTGCAAAGGACGCATCCAGGCCCACCGAGAAGAGCAATGGGTCGCTGACCGCTGCATCCTCGTGGAATGCTGCAATCTGCCATGGAAGGGTGGGAACGGTGGTAATAAGAGGGAAGAAGGCATGAAGAGGTTCGTTTTGAGACATCTAAAGAATGGTCGCTGGCTGCTTCATCCTCGTGGAATACTTTTGAGGCGCCTCAAAAGTCGTCTAAGTTTTGAAGCGCCTCAAAAGTCGTCTACGTTTTAAGGCGCCTCAAAAGTCACTGGCTGCTTCATCCTCGTGGAACGCTGTGATCTGCCATGAGAGGGAAGAAGGAATGAATGAGCTAGGGGTATGGGTTGGTGGAACGAACTGGATGCTGTTGGGAACTACGGGAAGGAGGTGAGATCACACATCAACATTGCTCCACTCACACTTGCTCGTCTCAGTCGACCTCTTCTCACACTTCCTCCTCACACTTGCTCGTCTCGTGGTTCATCGGGCCAATCTTTGCATTGGATGAGAACCAGGCCGCACAGAAGTTCCAAGACTGCATCGGCCAATCATCGGCCAGGAGCCTGCATGAGCCTCCACCACCCACCCTCTCCTTGCCCGCCTTTGCCTTGCCCATTCTCTAATCTCACATCTCAATACCACGTCACGCCAGTCGGAGTGGAAGAGTTCGCGGGATGAATCTTTGACGAGGGGCAGTGAGCTCGCAGTCACACCACTCTGCTCTGTTCTTGAGGGCACTCTGAGGTGTGTGAGGGCAGCACCTCACAGCGCCTCCAAGAGAACAGCACCTGTGTGGCGTTGTCGCATCTCACAGCACCCTCAGCACGAAACCTCTCAAAACAGGACCAGCCCCAGTTCATCACCTTATGACTAGCACCACCACAGGGCTGTCCACAGACCAGTCCCCTCCCTCCCAACTGACAGCACCTTATCCGCCATAGCGAGCCCACTGACAGCAGCGGTTTGCAGTGGTCGCCACACAGCCCCACCCACGAACAGCACTCTTGACAGCACCTGTTGGGCCACAGGACTACCCGCACTGTCTGACTAGTCCCCCGCCTTCCCCCTCCTTAGTACCTTACCGGGCATGGCGAGCCCGCTGACACCAGCAGCCTGCACGGAGGGGGCGAGCAGCCAGTCGCCACACAGCCCCAACCGCAAGCAGCACCAGTGACAGCACCTGATGGGTGAAAGGACTACCCCCACTGACTAGTCATTTGCTCCCTCCCTCTTTCGTACCTTATCGGCCATGGCAAGCCCACTGACTGCAGCAGCCTGGATGGAAGGAGCGAGCAGCCAATCGCCACA